TGGGGATGTTAGGTGTTCTGGGGTGCTGGGGGTGGGGATGTTAGATGTTCTGGGGTGCTGGGGGTGGGGATGTTAGATGTTCTGGGGTGCTGGGGGTGGGGATGTTAGATGTTCTGGGGTGCTGGGGTGGGGATGTTAGATGTTCTGGGGTGCTGGGGGTGGGGATGTTAGATGTTCTGGGGTGCTGGGGGTGGGGATGTTAGATGTTCTGGGGTGCTGGGGGTGGGTATGTTAGTTGTTCTGGGGTGCTGGGGGTGGGGATGTTAGATGTTCTGGGGTGCTGGGGGTGGGGATGTTAGATGTTCTGGGGTGCTGGGGGTGGGGATGTTAGATGTTCTGGGGTGCTGGGGGTGGGGATGTTAGATGTTCTGGGGTGCTGGGGGTGGGGATGTTAGATGTTCTGGGGTGCTGGGGGTGGGGATGTTAGATGTTCTGGGTTGCTGGGGGTGGGGATGTTAGATGTTCTGGGGTGCTGGGGGTGGGGATGTTAGATGTTCTGGGGTGCTGGGGGTGGGGATGTTAGATGTTCTGGGGTGCTGGGGGTGGGGATGTTATATGTTCTGGGGTGGTGGGGGTGGGGATGTTAGATGTTCCGGGGTACTGGCAAGTTGTAGAATTTAATGCTGGGGGGGGGGAGGCGGACACTGGTAAAAGTATATGTTTTCTATATAAATTCCATTTGGTAGACTTAATTAAGTGATAAATTCGAGTGCTAAAATGTCTTTAAGAACAAATTTAACAAATCCCGACAAGGGTGGAAAGGGGGGGGGGGATGCAAATCGAAAATTGAAAGTTTGTCCCCAGGCGCCGGGAAGGGTCGCTACGCCTCTGGTGGGGGGGGGGGGGGTGATACCATTAAGTGCCGCACCGGGTGACACCCGACCTCGCTACGCCACTCTCTTTCACTCTCCCTCATTAGCACAATATATTCATTAAAAATCTACTACGTCATCATTATAAGCATTCATTGCGGCCTCGTGGCCTAATGGATAAGGCGTCTGACTTCGGATCAGAAGATTGCGAGTTCGAGTCTCGTCGGGGTCGATAATTTTTGTTTACTTTTTAATGGGCGGCCATCACTCGACACATTATCCAGCTCTTCCTAATCATTTGGTTTTTTTTATATAAAGATCGGAAGTTTAAATTTATTACGTACGTAACATAGCCGTGTCTATTATTTATTTATTCTAACTACCCTTGTAAATCGGATCAGAAGATTGCGAGTTCGAGTCTCGTCGGGGGTCGTTGTTTTTTTTTTCTTTTTCAAAAGAGCTACAACACAACCAAGACGGATAAGAAACTGATGCCGTTTCTATGGCTTCTTATTCGATACATTTTTTCCAGCTGTTTCTAATCATTTAGTTGTTTTTCTTTTTAAACATCGGCTGTCTGAATCTATTCCTAAAGTAAAGAACGCCCCCATCCCATAAGTTAAATATTTAAACGACCCTTGTAAATCGTTGAATTAAAAAAAAAATTTAAAGCTGTGTGCGCTGGGTTTGCTGAAGGAAATGAAACGTTAACCCGCTCACCGCGAACACAGAAATAATGTATATTTTTCGGCACATACCGGGGTTGGGTGGGCGGAGGGGGGGGGGTCTACAACCAGGATCTCTCATTGGTTGGTCGATATTTAGCAAGCGTAGATCTGGTATTTTAAAATACATGTCACGATTTAGGTCAGAGTTTCATTCAGGCATCTATTCTGGACATTGCCCCCCCCCCCCCCCCCCGCCCGAAGCACCTCCCTCTCCCGGACCCGAACGTAATATAATTTATATGGATAATATTTACTTTTACCAGTGTTCGCCTCGGAAATTTTGTCTGCCCCTCCTCCACCCCCCCCCCCCCCCCGACGGAAAAAATAAAGTCTGAAAGAAACACTGTATGCGAGAAAGTAAATAAACCGGAAGTGATCTCCCCTAAACTTTCTTGAATATTCTTATATAACGCTACGGGGGATGGCACTTTTAAAAGACAGTATAACATTGAAGGCTTATTATTGAAAAGCGTTATTACAAAATAAAGCGGGAGTGATCTCTCCTAAACTTTCTCTATTACTCTGCGGGGAATGGCAACTCGGGATATAGACATGATTTTTAATCCATTTTCAATTACTTAAACTTTTAAAAATAGAATAGAATCTCGTAGAAAAAAGAATTGCGCACCAAGTGAACGCCAAAAACCTGTGTATAACAGTGAGGAATATTATTAGTACTTTATAAATTTACATGCATTTTTTTTTAGAAATCACACACACACACAGACAAACGGACAAGATTGCAAAATTATGTTTTTCCGACTCATGGAGGTGTAAAACGTCAAGTTTTGCACAAATCTCGATTTTTTTTTTGCACGACTACAATACTTTCTCTATGCTTCGTATACGAGAAAGTAAAAAGGCACAAATTTTCCGCTCTATTATAGTCACACTGTTTACGTTCATTTGGTGCGCAATTTTTTTTTCTTTCTGCGTAATTTCATTGTTTAAAAAAAAAAATAAGCAGTTAAAAAAATCAACAAAAAACATTGCTATAGCACCGGAAGTGGCATCTTCCTAATATTGTATTAGAAAATACGAAAAGTATATTAGACATTGAACCAAATTTTATTAAGGGTACATAAGATAAATACTTTTAAAACGAAGGCCTCGTGGCCTAATGGATAAGGCGTCTGACTTCGGATCAGAAGATTGCGAGTTCGAGTCTCGTCGGGGTCGGTTAGATTTTTTCCCACAACATAAAGGGTTAAAATCTGACTGATTGTTTTTGTTTTTCACAAACGCTTTTAATTGTTCAGTGTAGAATTCTACTCATCACGCTAATTTTTTAGGTATTCTATTAGAAAACTTTGACAAAATGAACACATACATTTTTGAAATATCTATATATATATAATTCTCTTCTTGGAGACGCTAGAAAACAAGCTGTAAGCGCGCTCCCTACCACCCCCACCCCTACATGGTCTGGTGAGCTGTGGTTCACGCTAAATGTTTACAATCATAGAGCCGGGTTTAGTGACTGCTATTAGGGGCAGATAAATTAGTTTGAAACGATTTTAAACTTAGGGGAGGTAACTAAGATGAGGCTGCTTTCACGGGGGGATGGAAGGTAGTGGTTGGGGAAAGGGGGGGGGGGTTATCGTCCTTAACGAGCTACTGATAGTGTTTTAAAGCAAATATATTCAGTGGCAGCATTGGTACTGTCGAATTCACAAATTATGAATTACTGAAAAGTAGAAAATAAAACAACTAAATAACGACGTATCATACGCCGCTGGTCGGCTCGTATATTTTATTACAGCTTAATTCAGTCGTCTTTTGGTTCCCCACACAAATGACTGATCCCAATGCATTTAAGTTATTGTTCTACGAGCTTTAGCTCTTGATTAAGCTGGACTGTATTCATATTAAATTCATTAAGCTAATTAATGCATTCATGCTATATTCATTAGGCTAATTAATATTTTCAATATTAATGCCTGTCTTAATGAATGACAATCTAAAAAAAAATATGGCGTTGGAAAGCAAGAATGGGATGGTGATTGTTGTGTCTTGGTCGTGGTTTAACCACACTATTCTACATCTACAACTACGGGAAATACTTGGATGTACTGTAGGGCCCTATTAAAATGTATTTTAGTGTCGTTTTGGGTAGGCATACTGCTACCATAAGTACACAGTGTTTCTTTCAGACTTTTTTCTTCCAGAAATTTTATTGTCTAAAATATCCGGGGGGGGGGGGGGGGGAGGGCGGACACTGTTAAAAGTATATATTTTCTATATCAATTCCATTTCGTTCGGGGGGGGGGTAGACTTTCTTCGAGGGGGGGGGGGGGGGGGAGAGCCACCGAAGAGATGTCTGGAAGAAACTCTGTAAGTACAATAATGTTCTTTTGGGTAGACCTATTTTTTGGTAGGCCTACTGGTATATCAAGTACTATAATGTTCTTTTGTGTAGGCCTACTGCTATCATAAGTACTTGGGTAGGCCTACTGGTATATCAAGTACCATAATGCACTCTTGTATAAGCCTACTGATATCGCAAGTACATTTGGTACTACTGCTACCACAATGGTCAGACAAGTTTATTTAACTGCCAATTTGTCTTAAAATGTCTAACTTAAGGGTTTTTAAAAAAAAATAATTCATTTATCAGATCTATACATTTTTATAGACTTTCACGTCAACTGGTATAAAATTTTGTTTAAATACAGCTCATTTAGGCCTACAGTTGCGGAAAAAAAATCCAATTTTAAAATAAGTTCTACATTTAAACATGTACCGACTCCCATTTTTGTTGCTTAACAATCTTTGTTCAAAAATATGTATCGTTTTTAAAATAAAACCCAACTGTTTAAATAATTAGATCTATATAATGAAGGAAAATTAAATCGAATTACTAAAGCAATTAGATCTAGATCTAATTCAACAATAACCCCCCCCCCCCCTAAAAAAAACCAAAAAAAAAAAACAAAAACAAAACAATTCACACACATGGAGAAAAAGGCGGGAAAAATACTAGAAAGAAATGATGAGTTTTCTCCGCTTGCCAGATATTGTCCGGTGTCAAATGTTAGGGGAGGGGCTAACAAAAAAACGGTCGTCAATTTGTTATGAGTGGTGGATGAGGTTCCCGTGGAAACGCAAACTGCTGATTCTTGGAGTCCGTGGGATCGATTCGACTCCATATTGATTGGCTGAGGTTCTGAAGCACGCGCTGCGGTAACTAGGGCAAGCGGTGCAGACACAGAAAGGCGCCGGAAAAAAGAATTCTGTTCTTGACAAAATTTTGAAATCAGAAAAAAAAACTGTATTTAAAAATGATGCAGTATTTAATACACCAAAAAAGGCTCCCTAAATTTTAATATATATTTTTTTTGTAAATATATAAATGGTTTAACAAAATATTGCGGGAAAATTTTCAGTGAGTTGCGTCGTTGGTCGACACCGTAGAATCGGGCCGATGCCGGTGCGGTCTGAAATCAGAGTTTTAAGATGTGTTAATGAAAGCTACGGCAAGGGAAGTAAACCTTTTTATATGTTGCTTTTTCTCCATGGTTGGCATTAAATCAGTAACAAAACATGCCACAGTGCTACAACAGCCAATAAAGTTGCATTCTTTTAGACCAGCGGTCAATAGCTGGCCGGATATTCCATAAAGGTAAGATACATATTTCTTAACATGATTTTTATTCTTCAGCTGAAACCATAGCTAAGTTGTTTCATTTTATGTTTTTATATTTAACAATTAACTAATGATGGTAATATTTTCAATTCCTTCTAATTTCAAGTCTGAAAAAAATGATTAAAATAATATCATAACGTGCAGCTTTTCTTTGATGACTAGAAAAAACACCTGTAATAGTTTATACCGCCTACTTGCAGTTGATGAGTTATGAACTCAATCGATCTGGTATCAAACAGGTTGTAATACGGTGTCTTGGAGCCTGAAAATATTGTTTTAATTAAGTTTGATTTCAACTCAGGAGTCAGCATCGTTGTAGCGGCTCGCCTTACCACTTATGTCATAAATATTAGAAACGTTCACTTTTTTTTGTTGTGTTCGATGAGTAAGCAGCTTCGTATCGCGCGTGTTTCGTGTCGCGTGAGTCAGGAAGGTCATGGGTCATGCAGCAATTGTTCACGACCTGCGGAATTCGATCTCAATTAGAGCGCGTTTTTTTTTTCAAAGGGCTATAGTGGAAAGTGTTGGGTATTTTGTGGGTCGTAGTGGAAAGTGTAGGGTATTTTGTGGTTTATAGTGGAAAGTGTTGAGTGATTGGAAAAGTGAAACTATCGAGCGTCTGAGTTGCATAATGAATATTAGGAATGCATGTTTCTGAATTATCAAGAATAGTCAGGAAATTTAACCATACCGTATTTATCAGGAGTATAGTGAATGTTTTGAACACCGAAATGACCCAGAGTTTCAGGAACTTTTAAAATGTCATGAAAGAGGAATATTGGGAAAATGTATTAAATATCAAAATTACCTGGAATATCATCCTTAATAAAATTGAGTATCAACGATGAAGGATTTACTGGGTTTCTTTAAAATACCTAAAGGATTTTTACAAACGCATGATATTTAAATAAAGCAGGAAATACGTTAAAAGTAATTTTGATAAATTATTTAGTAAAAAAAGTATGTATAATTAGATTCTTGTGAAAACTTAATTTTCTTAAGATGACATTATAAGCCCGTATAACTAGCTTAAAATTTACATAGAAATTTAATTTAATTTAGTTACTTCTAGGTATTTGAAGTTTTAAAAAGTAAGATCTATGATATTTCATACATAAAAACACTAATCACCTCTATTTTCAAAGGAAGAAATTAAATCCCATAACGGTATTTATTTAAAATGTTGATATTAATAGCTTTGTGAATCGTAGAAAAGCAATGTCTCAAATACAATTGTCATTGGGTGGTTTTGTTTATCGTGCTACTGCCAAGCAACGCGCCATTAAAATGTTTCTGCTAGGCCGTTTCAGAGATATAAAAAATCGCATGACATCCACTTGAAAACCTTCAGCAACCCAACAACAATCGCTTTAAAAATGTGCGCCGTTCTTAGGTTGGGATCAATTCTTCCAAGGCCTGCTCGGGGTTTTAAAAACCGGCACCGTGATTCACATCTGCTCAAAGCGGTGACCTCCAGATGACCTTGGGCATGTGCTGCTCTGATGGGTCGCCCCTCCCCCTGTTATCTGTTTGAATATTGATAGCAGCCCTTGATCCTTAGTGTGTGGATGGGTAGGGGGGGCGGGGGTGTAAATAAAGAATCTGGAAATACAGCCTACATTTGATGTGGTAGCCTTATTTGCTAGAACAGATTTGATGCGGTAGTTCAATAAAGGGGTTTGCAGACTATTGAAGCCGAATGCTACTCTTACGGCTTGTTCAATATCAAAGTTGTTTTACCTTTATTTTCTCAGCTCACTTCGCGTATTCATTCATAAAACTAAGTTCCCCTCTCACGTCTTTCATCACAAGGCTAAGCTCCTCTCTTACGTCTTTCATCACAAGGCTAAGCTCCTCTCTTACGTCTTTCATCACAAGGCTAAGCTCCTCTCTTACGTCTTTCATCACAAGGCTAAGCTCCTCTCTTACGTCTTTCATCACAAGGCTAAGCTCCTCTCTTACGTCTTTCATCACAAGGCTAAGCTCCTCTCTTACGTCTTTCATCACAAGGCTAAGCTCCTCTCTTACGTCTTTCATCACAAGGCTAAGCTCCTCTCTTACGTCTTTCATCACAAGGCTAAGCTCCTCTCTTACGTCTTTCATCACAAGGCTAAGCTCCTCTCTTACGTCTTTCATCACAAGGCTAAGCTCCTCTCTTACGTCTTTCACCACAAGGCTAAGCTCCTCTCTTACGTCTTTCATCACAAGGCTAAGCTCCTCTCTTACGTCTTTCATCACAAGGCTAAGCTCCTCTCTTACGTCTTTCATCACAAGGCTAAGCTCCTCTCTTACGTCTTTCATCACAAGGCTAAGCTCCTCTCTTACGTCTTTCATCACAAGGCTAAGCTCCTCTCTTACGTCTTTCATCACAAGGCTAAGCTCCTCTCTTACGTCTTTCATCACAAGGCTAAGCTCCTCTCTTACGTCTTTCATCACAAGGCTAAGCTCCTCTCTTACGTCTTTCATCACAAGGCTAAGCTCCTCTCTTACGTCTTTCATCACAAGGCTAAGCTCCTCTCTTACGTCTTTCATCACAAGGCTAAGCTCCTCTCTTACGTCTTTCATCACAAGGCTAAGCTCCTCTCTTACGTCTTTCACCACAAGGCTAAGCTCCTCTCTTACGTCTTTCATCACAAGGCTAAGCTCCTCTCTTACGTCTTTCATCACAAGGCTAAGCTCCTCTCTTACGTCTTTCATCACAAGGCTAAGCTCCTCAAGTTTCTTCCATTGTTCATTACTCATCTTAGCGTAGCCTCATATTTTGCCACATATTTAGCCACATATTTAGCCACATATTTAGTCACATATTTAGTCACATGTTTAGCCACATGTTTAGTCCCATATTTAGCCCCATATTTAGCCACATATTTAGCCACATGTTTAGTCCCATATTTAGCCCCATATTAAGCATCTGATTTAATCTCTAAGTTAGCGTCTATTATAACCAGATCTAGCCCAAAATTCAGCCTCAGGTTAGCTTTAGACCTATTCTTGAAGTTAGCTTCAGATATAACTTTAGCCTCAAAATTAAGTCCAGATTCAGCAACAAATTTAGCCTCAGATTTAGTAACACATTTAGCTTTAAAATTAACTCAGATTTAATCTCATTCTCAGATATAGTTACAGATTTAGCCTCGAATTTTCCATTAGATACAGCTTCATTTACCCTCAAATTTAACTCCATATTTAGCCTCAGATTTAGCCTCACATTCACCTCCAGAGTTAGCATCAAATTTAGCCTCAGACAGTTCAGATTTAGCTTCAAAATTAAAATTCAGATTTAATCTCATATTTAGCCTCAGATATAGTTACAGATTTAGCCCCGATTTTTCCTCAGATATAGCTTCAGATTTACCCTCAAATTGAACTCCATATTTAGCCTCAGATTTAACCTCCACTCTAACCTCTACACACCATCCTCCCCTCACCTCCCCCACCCGACATCTTGTAAACATGATCCCAACATTTTTACTAAGACAGACATTGATCGATCTCTTTCTCTCCGTGCGGTGTGTTGACACTCCTGTCCTTATGAGGATCCGATGACAAGCTAAGATGCAGCCTTCAAAGCTTCATTGGCCCGTCTTGCTATGCTTTGCTAATTATGATTTAATTTTTAAAAATTGTAATTTGATAAGTTAAAAAAAAAGAGTGTGCTATGAGTGTAAAGATTCACAGATCAATGTTTTGTGAGCGGAATGTTATAATGTTAATGAAAAGTAAAGTAAGAAAATAGTAGAGAAACTTGCAGGGGCGGAACTACAGTGCCGCCAGACCCCGCAATGCGGGGGGGGGGGGGCAGGCCGTTTAGGGGCCCAAAGCCGACCATGATCAATTTTTTTTATAGTTAAAGAATAATTTTCTTGTAAAAAAAACAAACAGATCTACTACAGTTGTGATGTACTGCAGTATCTTCCATGACTTATTTCCCTTTTTTTTTAAATAGTCAAATACGTGTGTTCTTAAAAAAACTTTAAATAAATTTGCACTAAACAAATTAAAAAGCAATTACATCTCTAAATTATTATTTTTTAAAATACATAATAAAGAATGAAATAGTAAAAAAGGAAATGTATTAAAAACTAATAATATAAATACAATTTTTTTTTAAATAAACATAAGGCGAGAAACCATTACACATACAAAGCTTTCTTGCTTCATATTCTTTTGACCGACTTGTTAGTTAGGAAACATTATGTCAAACATTGAAACAAAGAATTTCAAAACAGATTAATAGCACTTACACATGATGTGTTGTTGCTATATTATGTTTTAATTAAATAAAAACTAAGAACTTTTAATTTTTAAAATTTCGAACAAGCCCGAATTGAGTATTCTATGTTCGTATTTTGGTATATATATATATATATATATATATATATATATATATATATATATATATATATATATATATATATATATATATATATATATATATGGGGCCAAAAAATGTTTTTGCGGGGTGGCCCAATTTTTCTAGTTCCGCCACTGGAAACTTGGCGTACATGAGAATCACAATTTTCCCCATGTTTTGATCTATTTTGTTTTACAGAGCAATAGCGTAGCTGTTATAAGTTATTACATAAATCTTATATATTTTCTAAATATAAAATGAAATACATAGTGTAAAGCCTTACAGTAGTGCCCGAAGGCCATTTACCCGAATAGACAACTGCCGAAAATATATTAATCTTGAGTATTGAAACTTATTTGTCCATTTTGTTCATTATAATTTTTTTCCGTTTTCGTTTTGGGTTTAAAGAGAGTATGTCATACAAAATGTGGGATAAATGAACGAAATAATTGATATTTGTTTGATTTTTTAAACTATTAAAGCTTATAAAATACAATTTTATTTTGCATTGCTTATACAATTCAATTTCGTTATAAAATAATTCCGCTACTACATTGTCTATACAAGGTGTGTTGAGCTGAAATTAAATACAAGCGACTCTACTCAACAAGTTAAGTCATCTGCAACATGATCAGCACACATCATGGCTTAACAAGGAAAATCAATCGAAGGCGTCTATGTTTACTGTAAAACAACGCTGTTTCCTAGTGTACTAAATGTGTTATCACCACCTCAACACGTCGATTACACAACCACATTTAAAAAATATTTTTTTTGCTGTCTCCATCGTATCATTTAAAAATAATATTTAATTTTGTATTAAATAAATCTTCACCAAGTGACATATTGTCATGTCTTATTGATTGGCATGTATTATGACATTTATTAAAGAAAAAGCTAATTCTTTTTTTTAAAACACCTATATACCGCAATAATTTTAAAAATAAAAGCTCTGTCTTAAAAAATATGATTAAATATCTGTTTTTTTTAATGCTTAAAATTGTTTTAATTATTAAGATATGAAATAAAAAAAATCATTAATAACTTTTTCAGGATAAAAATAATATTTGATCTATAACTTTTCCGGCTAGCGGCATTTGGGCATGTGGGTTTTGGGTTTTTTTGCCAAGCGGATTTTTAGGTTTGGATACCGTTTTGTTAAAACTGCTCGGATTATATACCCTTGGCGTTGAAATAACACTCTTTGTCTATTTTGATATTACATGTCTAAAAGACACTTATAAAATATCATAATGTTCTCTGTAAAAAACGCACATATAAAATTTCCTTATCTGTGCTGTCAAAGACAGAATTTCCTTATCTGCTCAGACAAACGCAGAATGTCCTTATCTGCGCTAAGAGCTACGTGTATATTGTTCTTATCTAAGCCGTGGTAGCTTCACCGACTTTTTGGTGGCGATCACAGGGGAGATAATTATTGATCTACGCCTGGACACCCCCACCTCCCCGTGCAGCAGCTGTCCGGTGAACGCCCGACCCTGGTGCGAAGACTGACCCCCGGGCCAGCAAGGCGTCGGTACATATCCGGGAGTTAGCCCGTGCTCTGTCCTGGCAAGACTCTATGACGTAAACCTCCCCACCCTCCTGACCTTTCCCCCACACCCACGGTTAATCTCACTCTGAAGTCTGGACATTAACACGCTAATCTCCCCTAGGAAGTTCAGACTGCCATATTAATCCCTCCGCACTTGACAATGGAACAGTTTAGTTCTTCACATCTACGCCGATGAGCACTATATCCATACTATTATCAGAAACATATAGGTCGTTTTGTGTGTGTTTGTGGGGGGGGGGTGAGGTGAAGGCGGCACTGTTTTAAACATCTAAGTGGTGTGGGGGGAGTGGAGGTTGAGTTGTAGAGCTCTGAACTACTCGCCGGAAAGTCTCTAGTTCGAACCACGGTCCACCCAGCTCATTAGAGAAAGCAAAGGCGGGTGGGTATAGCGCTAACCATACTATCGTTACATGGATCGTTCGTTCTGAAAAGTAAACTTTACCTAGTGTAGGAGGGCTTATAAATTATAAAAAAACCTCTTAAACACGGATGTAGCAAATCTACAACAATCTACTTGGGTACCCGACCGCGGCACAGTTATCTACACTTATACTCTCTCGTCTCTCTAGTCCTCTCCCATAGTCCAGACACTCTCATCCAGCATCCTGCAAGGGTCTAGGACATTACCCCCCAGTCAATTACCCCCCGTACATTCCCCCCCCCCCCGGAGCAATTACTTCTCTGTCCATCACCCCAAGCTCAAGAATCCTGAATAACCCGAACTCTATACCTATATATTACCTTAATCCTAACCTTAAGAAAAAGCCTAATTACCCCACGGGGATTATTACTCCGGGGGGAGGAGGGATGTCCAGGGTGTAATTGACGGGGGGGGGGGGGGGTAATGCCCTGTTGCCCTTCCTCCACACCTCTGCCTTCCACCATCTTCAGTGCTTCTCCTACTGTTATATAGGTCTTCGTTGTGCTTGATTTTTTTTTATATCGGAAGGGATATCTTTTTGGATAGCCTTTGTCCAACCAAGAACAAACTACAAAGGCATATGTTGTTGGATTTTGCAGTTGTCGCTCTTGAAAGAGTGACTGTCCCCAGCTAACGAGCCTTATCTGCTCCGAGGTTCGAACTAGAGACTTTTCGGTTATTAAGCAACCATTGGTTTTTTTTATCTTCCAATAATTTTTTTCATTCTTCTGCCTTTGTTTCGTGTGCTTGCCACTGTTCCTTGTAGAATTGTTTTCTCTAGTATCCACAACCTTGCTACATGCCAGTACAGTTTCTGTTTTTTTAACGTCTGACCCGCATTTAGAAACAACAAAAAATGTCGAAAAAAAAAGAAAAAAAAACAAAAAAAAAAAAAACGATGGCTGCACGGAAGAAGCAGGATAACCCCTTCAGCAGACGACCTCATATTTTACCCAGATGTCACAAAACCTGATTACGCCCCTGTTCACGTAGTCTAACGAAATCCGTGAAACTGATGTCCAGCAAACCACGTGGCTAGGATCACGTTTTTTGTGTGCCTACAATTTGTCTTCGTGTGAAGATAAACCCGATGCGGAGTTGAACGAAATTTGTTTAGCGCTAGAAGAAATAGCGCCGAATAGGGCTTTAGACTATTCACACCACATTTGTAGCGGCTATAGAAATGCTGCGCGTCAATAGATTGAAACGTTTTGCGCATTTCATGAGGGGGTAGGGGAAGAGTCTAGGGATTAGGGTGGTGAGGTGGGGGGAGGGGGAACCAGATATATGCAGGGAGACAATTTTCAGATATCTAGTCTAGAATACGAAAAGTGTTTTACAAAGCAATGTAAAAACACTTTATGTATATATATATATATATATATATATAATCAGCAATAACAATGCAAAGATTATACTTTATAATTGAAAACAATAATTATACCACACATGGTTTCACTCATTGTAACGCTTTCTTTGAATCTATTCCTTCATTCAATGATTCACAAGGTTGTAGGGGCCTATAACGATTTACTGGGGAAAATAGATCTAAGGCGGGTGTGGGCGGGGGCGAGATATATATTGTTACAGAGCAAAGACATAGAGAAGAAAGAAAAACTAAAATAGCCGTCTGTCACCACGTGGTGCAACAGCCTCCATTACCGGCCATCTTGTCCGTCAGTTCACGGCACCGGCCACACGTCGCTCTGGTGACGTGGGAGGTGATTTGCTTTTGGCCACCCGAGGTGCCAGTCTGCTCACGTCATCCAGACAATGGCAGGCCACCCACACGTTTCCGTCTCGTCATTCAGGCTGGAGCCGCCGACCTTTCGAATGTTCCAGATGGAAGAAATGCACTTTGTTGCTGAATTAACAATCTCTCTATCTCGCTCTTTTCCTCTTTCCCCTCTTCTCTCTCTCTCTCTCTCTCCCTCTCTCTCTCTCTCTCTCTCTCTCTCTCTCTCTCTCTCTCTCTCTCTCTCTCTATATATATATATATATATATATATATATATATATATATATATATATATATATCCGCCATATTTTAATGCAAAATTAACAATATGTAGGCATATATATATATATATATATATATATATATATATATATATATATATATATATATATATATATACACACATACGGGTCAAGTGAAGTTCCCCTTTCGAACCTTACTGTCCATGGGGCAAGTGAAATAGAGTTCACCTGTTTCTGTGACATCGGCATTGAAGGTGATAGTATGCTCAGCACTATGCCCAACTGCCTATACCTTCCGTATCGTGAAGTGGGTGCCCATAATAGGTGGGTGGAATCTGGGGACTTTCTAAAGAATTGAACCCGGATTCTAACTCGAGACTTTTGGGTTAGCATTCGTATGCTCTACCATTTGACCACGCCGTTGTTTGTGTAAATACATACATAAGTACATATAAAAAACATTGATATATTTATTTTATGTATAACATGACAGCAGCCAATGATGATACTTTTCTTGCATTTGCAGATGGGTTTGCTATCAGACATGTTGAGGTTCGCGGCCTTCATTAGTTTTGTCCTGGCCATTCATGGATCTCCCAACTGCCCAGAGGACTGCTCATGCTCCCACTCTACCCAAGAGGTTGTAGGTCCTGTCTACAAGGTCCTGTGTGTCCAGAAAGGTCTCCTGTCGATCCCAGACCTCACCGTGCTGCAGGCGATTCAACTTCCGGTTGTCTTAAACCTGGAACAAAACGAGATCAAATCCGTCTCTATGTTGGACTTCCCGCCAGGGTTGAATATTTTCTCGCTGGACCTGACCAAGAACCCTGAGATGAAAATCGCCCAGGACGCCTTCAACAACATGAACATGACGCTTAAGAAGCTGGTCCTTGAAGCCATCAAGATGACTTTCGAGCATCCCCTGGCAATGCTCAACAAGCTCTCTGTCTTAGAGGAACTATCCCTCAGCCACAACAATCGTGTGGGGTACGTCACCGGCGCTATCGAAGACATCCGGGTGTCTTTATTCCAAGGTCCGGTCGTCAGATCGTTAAAAATTTTACGCATGTCTAACTGCGGGATTCGATCCATGGTCCATTCGACTCTAGCGGGTTTACACGCTCTGGAGGAACTTGATTTGTCCAAGAACAAATTTGCGCAAGTGCCTTCAACCATAAAACATCTGAAGAACCTGAAAAGCTTGTTCATGTTCAGGAGCGGCTTACACACCGTGGAGGACAACTCATTCCAAGGGATGAAATCCCTAGAGGTTATCGAACTCAACACGAACACGATCAAAACTTTGTCGAAAGACGCGTTTAAAGGGCTGGAACATTCTTTAAAGAAGCTTCGACTTGATCGATGCTTTATGCAACAAATCCCAACCGAAGCGTTGGCGAATTTGTATAAACTGGAGTACTTGGATTTATCCCAGAACGCGTTCACCATAGCCCCGCCTAAAGTGTTTGTAGGTCATTACTGCCTGCGTACTTTACTCATTAGTTCCGAGAACATGGTCGTGGACACCAGCACGTTCGCTGGGCAGGAGACCTGCATTCGGGACCTCACCATGAAGCAGATGAAGCTCACCCGAGTCCCCCGTGAGGCTTTGGTTCACCTGAAGTCCTTGCAGGAGCTTAACCTTGAGAACAACCTCATCCACCGCCTTCCTAAAAACGCTTTCTTCGGCATCAAAGCTATGATCATCAGCTTAGCGTACAACAACCTCACCCACATCGAACCAGGCGCCTTCAACGGCCTACCGAAAAGAGTGAGTATAAACCTCCGTCATACTCATGTATCGGATATCGATTTCTTGATCGATTACCCGGAAGACGCCATTGAAACTGTCAACCTTGACAACGCCCACCTGTTATGCAGGTGCTCTATGAAGTCCTCGCTCAACGCCACGCTGAACGTCAATATCCACGGCACCTGCATGAAGCAGAACCTCGTTCTGAACCTCAACAGCAACAGGTTGGCCGCCATCTTGGACGAAGCTTGTTTAGAGGAATCGGCTTCGAATTCGAGTTCCCTAACCATGAGAACAATCACAACACAAATAGTTTTATTTTTTGCTATGTGGTGGGGCACACGTGTGTAAAAACTGCTGAGAATTATTTTGTGTTCAGTTAGACGTGTAACGTACAAGATAGCTAGTGATGTGGGCGTTAGAGATTTGTTTTGACAAAAGTGGGATCGATTCCTATAGGTGTCAGTTAATTCTTGGTTAAAGCTTTGTCTTGACAGATGCGGAATCGATTCCCGGATCTGTCAGGTGTTTCTGCGTTTGCGCTTTGTCTTGACAAATGTAGTATCGATTCCTGGATGAAACAAGTGATCATTACATTGATTTAGCCATAAGTTTAGTATGAGTTACTTCTTTCGTCGATTGTTGTCGATCTTTGGAAAAGCTGTGATTTATACCGTTCCACAGCGTTCGTGGCTACACCATAGGCCACAGAGAGAAAAAAACTGCACCTCACCCCATTAATTATAAACAATCAGAAGTTATTTGAACCTTCCTTGAACCACACATATTCTCACAATTCACATACTAATTAACCCTTTCACGCACATACAACAACTTGGCTCTCATTGGAAGAGTCACTTGAGTCAACTAGCCAATCCGTAATGTCATCGAGCTCACTCCTAAATTAAAAAAAAATCATTCTCATTCGATTTTTATGTTCACAATCATCTAACGTCATTTAAAATTTTAAACAAATGTAAGCAATAAAACTATTGATACAAAAACTGCAGTGATTTTTTTATAACGCTATCATTCAGTCCAAATCAGCGGCTTGGAAGTCTCCCCCAATGTGTCACACTTTGTCACATCTGTGTGCCATTGTGGTTGACTAGCGACACTCCCAGCCTTCACGTGGGCTTCAAACTGTAACCCCACAGCCCAGCCTCAGAAATAAAAGCACTAACAAACACGCACTAAAGAACACGCACTAGGAAACACGCACTAAAGAACACGCACTAACAAACACGCACTAACAAACACGCATTAATAAACACGCACTAACGAACACGCACTAACGAAAACCTACCAACAGGTAACCTCAACCAAACTAAAACAAACACACATCTACAAACGGACTCCCGCAACTGTAAAACCAACACAAGAAAATATATTTAGCCAGCCTGTGTTTCTTTGCTATGTGTACCAGCATAACGTTATAGCTGTGTTGTTTTCTGTGTATTGTAACTCTATATTGTGATATAACTTTGTGTTGACGGATTGGAGTTGACAGGGGTTTCACTTTCGTCCAAATTCTAGATCTTTTCAATTCAAGAATACCCGAAACCAAAACATTTAAATGGAGACAAGGGGCCACTCCAAGTTTAAACTTTATTTCAAAACTTTTAAATTAATATCGAAATTGTTAAATCCGAACTTTTGAATGAACACCTATGGAAATGGTAACAATTGGCCTACAGTCATCGACGTAGCTTCGTTTTGTCAAACTGGACCTGTACATTTTATCAATTCATTCCTATATCTATATCTATCCAAACACAGACGTATAATCGAGATCAAGAATCGTAGTTCAAAGCCATGTCGCTGTCTTTAGGCATCGTTACCACAATTTTTTAAAACAACGTTCAGTCCACATTCTCTAGAATATTCCTATGACATTCTCCACCCTATACCTGCTGGTCAGATTGTCACCATTTCCCACCGGAGTACTACACCCGTTATATTTAAAAGTGGTTTTATGAACGTAAATTGATGTTCGCTGTTATATGATATATACATAAGATATACAGGTAAAATATGTTATAGCAATAGATTTACATCATTTACTGATTACATTTACAGTCATCATCTATTGAACAAACTGACATCATTTACTGACCACATTTACGTAATTTGCAGACCAAATTTACATCATCTAAATTGATCTCATGTATTGACCAAATGTACATCATTTCTGTCGGACTGGGATGATATCAGCGTGAAAGTTTGGAGTAGTTGTGAATGAACAAAAATATTAGAAATAAAATTTTTCTTGAACACTTGTAAACGAATTCTATTCTATATGAAAATGTAAAGTGAAAAAAAAACCCACGTTAAATGAAAATAATTTGTGTAGGTGTGTAAAATGAATGTTTGGTATGAAATTGGGAAATGAAAGATGAAAGCGATGAACAGAACCAATCGCATTTGTCAATTTTAAAATCTTGTATACATCATCTCCACGTATCAATGGCCGGAACAAGGTCCAGATGTTACCATGGCAACCACTCACATCTTTACCCACTAACCCACTGTATACAACACCTTCCCCCTTCCCCTATTCCCTAACACCATCATCCCCGTTTTTCACCCATGACCCCCACCCCTGAACCCCCTATCTCCCGACTCACCCCGTCTTATGTAACTTCACTGGTACCCTGACCCACCTGACCCACCTTGTCTGATGTATCTTCACTGATACCCTGGCCACAGTGGGGATCGTACAAAGAACAAGTTCGGCTACCCCCCTCCTCACCCCACCCCCGAGTATGACAGGCAAGTGAAAAACAGAAACACCCCCCTGTATATTTTTCTAACTCATCCGTTCATTAAGGTGATACAATTATTATTTTGGTAACAACAATTTTGCTTATTAAATAAAATATTATAAAAAACACTCATTTAAATAGTCTTTTTTGTATTTTTCAGTGTATGTGTATGTGTGAGGTAACTGTCAAAATATATAACTTGTTGCCTTGTTGAATAATCCCTGATAACTACATTTCAACGCGAAAGCTAACCAAAATACTAAACCTAACCCTATCCCAAATCTCGTCATATAAATACTAGCCGTCCCGGTAAATACTAGCCGTCCCGACCAGGCCCTGCTCTCGCTTCTGTGAAAAACCTTTCTGTTAAAGACCATTACCTGTGTGTTTAGTAATCATCATAAACCCGGCATTGCCCACCCAATTCACAACCAACCAAAACCTAAACAACAAAACGCAAACATAACGCTAACACAATTTCAAATACAAACGAAAACAAAATCCTAACAACAAACCCAACCACAACCACAAACACCAATACAAACACAAAGAAAAAACAAACAAAAAAGCAAACGAAAACAAAAACCTAACAACAAACCCAAACCCAACCACAACCACAAACACCAATACAAACACAAAGAAAAAAACGGAAAAGCAAACGAAAACAAACCAAATCCAAACGCAAAACCAACCACAAACACAAACCCAAAGAAAAAAACACAAACAAAAAGAAAACGAAAACAAACCAAATCCAAACGCAAAACCTGGCCGTATGAGGTGCAGTCCTGAAGTACGTGCTTTGTATTATCCGGGGCCATGCCACAAGGGCAAGTTTCACCACACCCAACTTTTAGTTTTTTTGTTATACTTGTGCTGTTTTAGTCTGTTGTGGCCTGTTCTGAGTCTAAAGATTGTGTTGTAGTATGCGTGTCAATTTGTGAAATCCGTCGTCTTTTTTTGTAGTGTGGGTATAAGCTATTTCTTTATCACACTGAAAATATAAAAATTCAAGTGCTGAGTGGATTACAATCCATCCATTAATATCTGAAGCTATGAATGACAACCCAGATGACATCTAGCTGACCTATCAATGTATCACAGTAAGCTGAAATGTTGTGAGGACGATATGGGGAAAACCCGATTTAATCTCAGTGCGCAAATACGCGCCGTGGCGTTTAAGTTTTTTTAGCTGGCCAGCGGTTGAAATCAATAAGGAAAAAAAATATTGACAGGGGGGGGGGGGGGGGGGTCAGAGTTGTGGATGAGATAGTGGTGGGTGTGGGGGTTGGGGGGTTGTTATACAAACACCCGGGTAGATCGTGGGGGGTCACTGGGTTGCGTAAATACTCAGATAGGTTAGAGAAATATTAGTCTGAGGTTAAAAGTGTTTTCGTGCCTACATTTAGAGTCGGTTAACAAATTCCGTTTTGGAGCGAGGGGGGAGGGGGGATTTTTGTGTATGATTATTGATTGCGAGGGTTTTTCTTCACTATTCAATGCAAAGTAACCCCCCCCCCCCTACCCCAACTCTCTTTTCTACATTGCTTTTTAAAACCAAGACCAATGAAATAGTGGAATTCGACAGAGAAGACTTTAGACAAGCGGAGAAGCTGTGGATATTTGATATTTGTGGATATTCTATCTAATATTTGTTGATATCTGTTGATATTTGTGGATATTTGTTGATATTTGTGGATATCTGTTGATATTTGTAGATATCTGTTGATATTTGTAGATATGTTTTAATATTTGAAGATATATGTAGACGTAAATAGGCATACGGCCTTTATAAAGTAAAACTACAGCTCGTTACATTAAATACAGATCTAGGAAAAGTTATGAAATTTTAACATTCACTATTTCTTTTGCAGTGTAATATAACTTTCATCTAAATACTTCACAAACACACACGCAACGAATACACACGCACACGCATATGCACAGGAATACGCACAAGCACACACACATACACACTCTTACGCACACACACACACGCGCACACACACATCCACACATCCACACACACATTGATCATGGCATGGCATAGGGGTTGACATAGAAAATAACAAAGTAAAACGCCCTCAGATTATGTCCTGCGTTAAATTACTTTTGTTTTTAATTAGAATGCTACGCTAGGCAAACCAATCAGCCACTTGAGTTGAACTTTATTCAGATTCGCCTCAATCAATCTAACATATTCACTGCTTAGCTTATACAGCCCGACGCATTGAAATGTAAAATACTGACTAGATGTCTTCTATACTGAATTTTATTCGCTGATTAATTAAGGGAGGTAAGTTTGTGTTCGTGCTTTGCACATTTCTGCTGCGGTGATCCTAATCTTGGTTCTAATTTCCTGTGGACAAGTTCACATCTGAAATCAAGTCCTCACCCCTCCCCCCACCCCTCGTCAGGACGACGGAGAGCGTTTGAATTCAACAAACAATTACACCAGACAAATCTTCTGCATTAAAGTGGATCCAAATCAAGTTAAAAATTTGCCGCATCCCTTAAACAGACAAACACACAAACAGACAGATAATTTGAACTAACTGAAAGCTTATAAAAACTGTTTTGTTCCCTTTCATGAGCCTGGAACAAAAGTTCAGATTTTATTCGACAGGTCGCGTCAACCCTGAAAGACCAACCCAATTGAGAAGCTGATTTCATAGTCCCTGGGGGTGGCCGAAAAAATAGGGGGGCGTCTTCAATTTCTGAAGCAGACGATTGTTTATGTCAGCTTGCTTCATAAGGTGATTGACATATGTGACCCACGGGACGTCAGTGTGGGGGGGGGGGGGGGGGAAGGGGGATTCTTGTTTACACCAGTGTTTGTTTGTGTGTGATTGTCTGTGTTTGTGTGTGTTTGTGTGTGTTTGTTTGAGTGTGTCTATAGGGAGTGAAGTTCTACATTGGTCTGGAGTTGAAAATTTTACGTGTGGGTATTGTTTGACGTACGTGTGTGTGTTTGTGTGTGCGTGTGTGTGTGTGGTGGAGAGGGGTGTGGGATAATGCTGTTTTGTATTAGTGAGGTGTTTAGTGGGAAATAGATTGGGTGAACAAGTCGGTGGGTGGGGCAGGGGGAGGGGGTTGTTTAGAAGGTGAGATAGCTGGTGGGGTATTGGTTTGTGGGAAATTGGTTTGTGGGATATTTGTTTTGAGGGAAAAAAATTTGTGGAAAATTTGTGCAAAAATCATATTCTTC